AACCCAGTGACTATGAACTAATGTAAATGGCATGAATGTGATTGGCTTAAATAAAGATAGTTTTCTTTCTTTCTTATATATATATATATATATATTTTTAGGCTAGTTTTCTTGATTTTCCTAAATTCAAATGAGTCTCTCAGGTGGAAACAGGTGGTTTAAATGTTCTTTTGGAAATGGAAATATAGCAAAGAATAAATCAACAGAGCTGGCCACTTGTAAGTTGTCTCACTGGATTTATTAAAATAGTAGCATCTGGTATTTTGTTTCACCTTTTCTCTCTGTAGTACCTCCCAAATCTAAAATAAATGCCACGTTTTATTGTGTATATTTTAAAAAGGCCCAGAATAACATTAGTAAAATAAGTTTTTAAGTCTCCATTTTAGCCAATAGTTTGTCTACTAAAAATAATATATACTTGCTGATTATTTTAAAACTTTTTTATAAGGGAGAGAATTGCTGATTTTGAGAATTTTATAAAGGAAGTGATTTTAGTGATACTGCTCAAGAGTTGTAAGTAATTTTACAAAGGAGAAAGGTAAAAAAATGAGTGGTGGATATAATATTCACCTAATCAAGAAGCTGGGCTGGAAAGAAAGAAGTAAAAAGCATGAGAAAACAAAATCAATAAGATTAAGTAGTAAATTCTTTGTGATTAGGGAGACCTTGCCATGTTTGGTAGAAAAAGCAAAAAAATTCTTAGAGATTTAAGATAATTGAGGAGAAGCAATATGAGTGACTAACAATAACCAATACTAGTGAACACTTATCGTATGCAAGTCAGAACTATTCTTATCTTTATTTCATAGATGAGGAATTAGTCACAGAGTCTAAGCAATTTGGTACATGATGGAACTGGACTTGAGACTCAAGTTTGTCAAACTCTAGACCCTGTTGACCTCATCAGTGATCTAAGGGGTCATTCCCTTCAAATGGTGATGGTCAAGGGCTGTGGTTTGGGATATGATATCTTCCATACCTAACTCTCTAACCTCATTACTCTCAGCATCCACCATATGTTCCAGCAAAGTTTCTCCTCACGTACCACTGGCTTTCATGCCTTAGTGCCTTCAAGGCAAACATTCTCTGAGCCTTACATATTCCCATAAACATAATTTTCTTTCTCATTATGAGTCTAAACTTTGGAATATGCTTTTAAATAAAAAGAAAAATACACACACACACACACACACACACACCATATTTACACATATATATATATCATACATATGATATATGCTATTGTTATTGTTGGGTGCTGTCAATCAGTTCTAACTCATAGTGACCCTATGTACAACAGAATGAAACACTGCCTGTTCCTGAACCAGTCTCACAATTGTTGCCATGCTTAAGCCCATTGTCAAAGCCACTATGTCAATCCATCTCATTGAAGGTCTTGCCTTTTTTCACTCACCCTCTACTTTACCAAGCATGATATCCTTTTTCAGAGATTGGTCACTTCTGACCACATGACCAAAGTAGACGAGACAAAGTCTGGCCATTCTCGCTTCTAAGGAACATTCCAGCTATATTTTCTCCCAGACGGATTTCTTCATTCTTCTAAGGACAGTTTTGTTCATTCTTCAGTCCATGCTCCATTCAGTATTCTTTGCCAACACCACAACTCAAATACATTGATTCTTCTGCAATCTTCTTTATTCATTGTCCAGCTCTCACATGCTTATGAAGCTATTGTAAATACTATGCTTGGATTAGGTGCACCTTAATATGCAAAATTACTTCTTTGCTCTTTAACACTTTAAAGAGTTCTTTTGCAGCAGATTTGCTCAATGCAGTACATCATTTGATTTCTTGACTGCTGCTTCTATGGGTGTTGACTGTATATCCAAATAAAATGAATCCTTGACAACTTTAATCTTTTCTCCATAATAATAATATATATTAAATGGGAGCTCCAGTTGGCATAGTGCCTAAGGCATTAAATATCATAAAAAAAAAAAAAAAAAATTCCCTCACTGCCATCCAGTCGATTTTGACTCAGAAGGTTGGGCAATCCTACTTCCGTAGTGATACTGCCTCGGAAACCCAAGGAGGGGTCGCTATGAGTCGGGGACGACTCAACGGCAATCAACAACAACAACAACAACAACCCCTCCTTTGGTTTCTGAGGCTGTATATCTACCGAAGTAGATTACACAATCTTCCTTCTAAAAAGTGACTGGTGGGTTTACCATCTAACTGAAGCCTTTTTGAGATGTCATTCTAGTTAACATTGTGTTTTGTAGGGGAAAGAAAGATTGGTAGTGGTAGAAAGGATATAATTTTCTTTGAAATTTGAATGAAAACATCTCACTGCTTTGTTAAATTGATAAAACAATTCCTGAGGCAAAGATTCTGTCTTGTTATTCCTTGTCTGGAGGGCCTACCATACTGCCTGGCTCATAAACCTACTTTTCACTCATCAACTATCTCGTTACCTGACATTTTGCGGTTAGAACTATAGTAAAAAAAAATCTTCTATCCTACATCTAGGAGTAACAAACACCAAGGTGCAAGGTGAGAGTAATGCTAGTTGATGGTTAAGGTTATATGTCAATTTGGCTGGCTGTGATTCTCAGTGGTTTGGCAGTTATATATTGACATAATTTGACAGTTATGTAATTTGGCAGTTTTATAATGATGTAGTCATCCTCTATTTTCATATAATGCTGATTTTCGTATAATAATCTGGTCATTAGAACTTAACCATGTGGATAAGTAAGGAATGGGTGTAGGTAGTCCAATATGTGTTGAATTAGATGTTCCTTTCTCTAACATTTTCTCTTTGGTTCTACCATAGAGTATACTTTGCATCTCTATTATAATACTCATTGCACTTGCTTCAGGTATAAATATGGTTACGTTTGAAAGAACAGTCGACTAATAGTGGTTTAAACAATTACTTCAAAGTAATTGCAGTCCAAGACTAATGCAGCAACTCAAAGATGTCAAGAAACCTTCTACCTTATTTATCTACTGTCCTTAGTATAGGGCTTTTATTCTCATGTTTGAAAAATGGCTGCTGCGCCTCCAAGCATTGTCTCTACATTATAGAAAGGAGAAAGTACAGTTAGAGAGCAAAGGGATAAAAAGTATGATCCTCAGAAGGCCTTTCTTTATGCTTGGGAATGGAAGCCCTTCCCACTGACTTCCACTTGTGTCTCAGTGGACAGTCGTGACACATGGGCACCTTTAGCTGCTAATGTGGTTAAGAATTGGAATATCTTGCATTTCAGTCTCTATAGATGTTGAAGTGTGTGTTGATTGAGTCAACCTGTAAGTCTACCTTACAGGTTTTCTGGTTATTTGGTGTAAGTTTATCTTTCTTGGTATGTTGTAACTCCATGGAGGACAAAGAATTTGATTTGGAAATCTTGAATTACTCACAGTACCTAGCAAGTGACTATCATGGCACTTAGCACAGTATCTCAGAGGTTGTAGCTGTTCAATCAATGGTTTTTTCTTTTAAAAATGTTTAACTTGGAAATAAGAACCTGGCAACAACTAGTGATTCTGGTTTCTCTGAAAATGATATCATCTGTAGGTTTATCTTTGCTTACTCATTCCTCATATCAACATTGGAAAATTACCTGGAGCCTTCCTGCTTCATCCAGTTGGGTCATTAGAGAGGACATTTCTTAACAGTACTATTGCTTGGAATGTTTTCAAGTTATAACTCAAAATATGGAGAGGGGGACAAATCATAAAAATATGACTGGTCAGCAAGGACTTTTTCAAAGAGAGGTGAAAAGATAACGTGGGTGAACCTAGAGCTCATTATGCTGAGTGAAATTAGTCATTCATAAAGGGGCAAATATTATATGAAACAGCTATTGTAAAAAGTCAAGAAAAGGTTTTTGCACTAAAACAAATATTCTTTGATGGTTATCAGGAGTGGGATGGAAACGGATGGTAAACCACTAACTGGTAGGTAGGCATATATTAACTTGGGTGAAGTTATCAAGTAATGAAAAAGATAATGTTATGAAGTAATTGAAAAGGATAATGTTAAAGAAAATATAATTATGGAACTTTTTTTGCATTATATTATTTAATAAATATAAAAGTATACAAAAAAGGTTGTATTTTAATATTTATAAAATAATAGTAGCTACAAAACAAATGCCAAATTGTTATCTTTATTCAGCAATAACAGAAATTGTACCATTTTTCAAAATTGTCACAGAAAGAATAAATGAATGTTAATTACCTGAACAACAAAAAAAAAGAGGTGAAAATATAGATAAGAATAAGGATAATATGTTGGAATTACAGAAAAGTTTAGCTATTAAAATTAAAACATATTAATTTAAAATATATTTTAGCCATTAAGAGTTCTAAGGGAAATAAATAAGTACAAATTACTCATTTCATTACAGAGATTTTCAAGTTGCTACTTTTTACTGTTTTTCTTTTACAACAGATCTTGTTATCTTGTTCCTCTTCCTTCTGTCATCTTTTTTAAAAAAAAAAAAATATATAAATCATGGGGGATAGAGATAAAACAATTGAACGTGAAGATTCAGAACCACCCGCAGGGGTGAATCACACAGCCTCCGCACATCAGGAAGCACAGGTAAACCTCAGTAAGCGATTTTTATGCGTAAGGGACTATTTTGAGTCTTTTATGGATTGCATTCTCTTCGTTCCCTGCTACTAACCAGACAATTCTCCCTATTCTTAATCTCCAAATTCATACAGTTCAGGTCAGGTGTGACTAGCAGTTCCCCAGCCAAAACCTTTAGCAACTGGCCCTTACATGAGGCTGGAAAAATGGGAAGCCTGTAAAAATCTTTGTGTTCCCAGCATAAACCCTAGAATCACTGTGGTTTTGTCCCTTTCCCTTTTACTGCTTAAATTGAAGTAGAGAAATGAATGTGATTTTTTTTTTTTCTACAGTTCTTTTTCTGAACAACTTTGGTATATTTATGTCTGTTGCCCTGTATCATATCTTAAATATGCTGATTTTAAACCCAGCATAATCAAATTTGACGTGATGGAAACATTTATAATGTTTTGGTTACCTCATGCTGCTCTACCAGAACACCACAAATGGAATAGCTTTAATAAGCAGGAGTTTACTCTGTTATAGTTTTGGAGGCTAGAAGTCTGAGTTAAAAGTGCCAGGCTCTAGGGGCTGGGTGAAAGCCCCCCCAGCCTTGTGCTTCAGTTCTGCCTCCTGCTCCTGGCCCATTGCAGCTGGAGGCTTTTCTTCACTCAGGTAGCTGCTGGCTGCTGAGGCTGACAAACACAAGGTCTATGAGTAAAAAGACACAGTCCTGATATTACCAAACAACACGGCAGGCCACTAATCCAAGTCCAAGAAAAAGTCCCAAGATCAGCAGGGCATGGCAGGCTGCTGAACAACAACTTGGCTACATACAGGGTTCAAGCATGCCGAAAAGCTAGAGACCTTCCTCAAAGTTGCTTCTTGTATACTAGAAGCAGCCCACATCCCTAAAGCAGCTACTCAGCTGCTCTGGTAGATTCTACCATGGAATTGATTACCAATCTCACCATGGGGAATAACTGTATCCAGTGGCCTAGCCACTCAACCATGCCCGGCCAAGTTGACACACAACCTTAACTACCACATGTAATACCACGAATAGTGACTCAATGCTAAGTATTTATAACATAGTTCTTGTTCCAAGCATTAGCTGATTAGCTAGTAATAAAGCTGTGCAGTTTCCTATAAGGTGTTAACCTTGATTCTAGTAATAGAAATTCAATTTGTGATATGATCCATAACCAATAAAAATGTATAGCAAACATACAATTTTAAGAATACATTTTTCTCCTTTAGACACAAGAGAAGACAGTTATGAACCTCAGAAGGATAGATGGAAATGAACCAACAGAAGGAAGTAACCTGCTGAATAGCAGTGAAAAAAAGCTACAAGAAACATCGATGGAATCAAATCATTTGCAAAGACTGAGACAAACATTTGCTTGCCCTCCACATGGATTACTGGATAAAGTCATAACAAATGGTTTGTAAACAGTAAAGGTGAATTAAGAAAGAGAGAGTTAAAAATAAAGTTGTTATAATGAGAAATCCCAAAATAACATTTAAAAGACAAAAACAGTTTGCTTCTCTTTCACATGAAAAGTACTAAGGTGAACAATTCATTCTCTTGGTAGGCCTGCACCATGTGGTCATTTAGGGACCCATGCTGACAAGGCTCCAGCATCTTCAACATGGCTTCCAAGAGCCCTATGGTCACTACCCCATTCTAGCCATTAGGAAGGGAAAAAGAGCAGAAATCAAAGTTTTTTTCCTTTTCCTCATCTGAGTAAGCATTTCAAAGTATCACTTTAGTATTACAATGAGAAAATGTTTTTCAAATCATTTGTTAACAGGCAAGTGCTACATAAATATTGATCATTATTACTACTAAGTAAGGCAGCTAAAATTTGAGCAAACATATCTCAATTTATACTTTTAAATGAATCCTGTTGTTTTATAAGTAAGGATCTTGGTTTCCAATTTAGCTCAGTCCCACAGAGCTGCCATTACTTAAAGCAATTTTGAATTTTTTCTTTGGAAATTTATCCCAACACTATTTTGAATATTGTTAGGGTTAGATTTGGTCTTTGGAAGCATCCAAAGGTTATTCTTCTATCAGTTTGATGAATAAGATACATGTTCAAATGCAGTAATGCATTTTTTTGTTCAAAACAGAAGTGTGTATATATGTATGTGTGTTGGAAGATATGTGGTATAGCAGGGGAAATAAGGGTTTTGAAAATTTGAAGACAATTTCAAAATTATTTAGAGGAATGACAGCATCATTAAAGTAAATATGTGACCTCCCCAGGTAAATATGTTGAAGAATGTAATACATTTGGTCAAGAAGTTATGGTTACTGAAAACACAGACTCACTTTTTTATAGCTATACTTGATATATGAGTTCTGAAGGACATTTTTACCATTCTCATCTGGGACTATGGGAAAGTCAAGTATGATATTCTATATTTTAGGTTCTAGATAAGTTTTCAGAGAAATTAGGTGAAGTTCTAAACTATCATGGGAAAAAAATCTCAAATCTTACTTGGAACACAGAAAAAACCAAGTTGTGAAATATATGCTAGCTAATAAGGCAACAGATAATTTAATGACTTTTCTGTCCTTTTTATTACTCTTTTTAATTTTTATCATTCAAATTATGCTATGTTTCTAGTTAAAACAATTAATAATAAAACAGATTTTGACTGACATAAGGATGAAAATGAATTATATGATTTGAAGAAGTCAATTTTTATAAAAATTGCATAATCGTTGTCCATAAGGTTTCCTAAAAAATGAGGCTTAGTGGATATGAACCCCTCTCTGCTTGTTTCCAGCCCTTCTATTCCTCAAGCTTACAGTACTGTTCTTGTCCTGTACTCCTCCCTATGCCCATTCTGTATGCACTAAGTATTCTCTTTATGAAGTAAATCTTACAGGTAAAAATAAGGTTTTCCAAAATTATAAGTGAAAAGTAAATTATTAACTGAATTAAAAGCAATTTAGGGGAACCTTATAAATAAGCATTTTCTGTATGTTTGGACTTAATACAGTGCTTCAAAATTTACAAAGAGCTCTCCCTCACTTATCTTTAGCACACCTTATGCATGTCTACAAATAACTAATTTATATATGTAATTTATAGAGAATTAATTTACAGTTAAAAACAGAGGAACAAATACTTTTTGCCTCTAGGAAGTTGTCTATGATTTTTTTTTTTTCTCCTTCTGCTTTCTACTTTCTTTATAGTTTTGAAATTCCAAAATAATTTTTTTAATAATACTAGAATGTTTTCATAAATTTCATTACCTGATGATACAATAATCCTTTATTGTGTGATATATGTGATATAATTGTTTTTTGTGAACTGTGTATGGCCCAATGTTATATATTATTAAAATTTATGATTAAAAATACATTATCTATTACATTATTAAAAGGTATAATAAACTTATGTACATATATAAATCTTAGAGTAAGTGAACAAGTATCATTAGGGCTGATTGAAGAGCACTAAACTAGACATTGGAAGACAAAATAAAAGGAAAATTGAAGCCAATTCCTACGTTTAATGAATTTATAGTCTAATTGTTGTTGTTTTGTTGTTAAGTGCCGTTGAGTCGGACCCAACTCATAGTTGTAGTGACCCCTCCTTGGATTTCCAAGGCAGTATCACTATGGAAGTAGATTGCCCCATCTTTCTTCCGAAGAGTGGCTGGTGGGTTTGAACCACCAGCCTTCTGGTTGGTAATCAAATGCCTTAGCCACTATGCTACCAGAGCAACAGGAAAGACAGTTGTTATTCTAAGACTTCAAAGCAAGTGTCTAAATGTATTACATTAAATGAAAAATAGTTAGACCCATATCAAAGAACTTGAAATAATTGTTTCTTGAAAGAAATAAGAAAATTTGATACAATTTTCTAAACACTGGTAGTTTCCTTAGCTACTGATGTGTTTACTACTTGTTTTTAGGTGCCGTCAAGCAGAAATGGGATTGTGGTTCACTACTTACTACTCAGTATCTCTTTAACAAAACCATTCTTAAATGGTGTCAAAGGCTGCTTATGACAATTTATTGGTAGAAACTAATTTCCTCATTTATTTCAGTTACCATGGTGGTTCTTCTGTGGGCCGTAGTTTGGTCTATTACCGGCAGTGAATGTCTTCCTGGAGGAAACCTATTTGGAATTATAATCCTGTTCTATTGTGCCATCGTTGGAGGTAAACTGTTGGGGCTTATTAAATTACCTACATTGCCTCCACTGCCTCCTCTTCTTGGTAAGTACTAAATTCATCCTGTTTTCTTCAGAGTAAATCATATTTTTAAAGTAGTAATTTGAAGGTATAAATGTATTTGGTGTATTGGAGCCAATTTGTACCAGCTCACAAAAGCCAATTTTAAATTTTGAGGAATTTTATGAACTAGTTGTTAAACATGTGTATTTAAAAATATTTAATTAAATAAACTTAAAATCGAATCATTTATATTAAAGGGCAGTAAACACTCAAAATTAATCACTTCTTGATTATTTTACTACTTTTACCCCCATCTGTGCTCTTAAGATTGTTTGTAGCTATTGTATCTTTAAGGAGCACTGGTGGCACAGTGGTTAAAGTATTTGGCTGCTAACCAAAAGGTTGACAGTTCAAACCCACCAGCTACGCTAGAGGAGAACGATAAGGCAGTCCGCTTCCATAAAGATTACAGCATTGGAAAGTATGTCACATTTGTAGTCTTTGCTTTATAAATACCCACAGCCATTGAGTTGGATCCGACTCATAGTGACCCCTCCTTGGGTTTCTGAGGCAGTATCACTACAGAAGTAGATTGCCCAACCTTCCTTCCAAGGAGTGGCTAGTGGGTTTGAACCACCAGGCTTCTGGTTAGCAGTCAGATGCCTTAGGCACTATGCCACCAGAGAATAGCATACACAAAAAAATTGAGGGTATTTTCTTCTAGTATTCAAAAACTATTTACTGATTTGACAAAGAAGTCACTTATATCACTGACAAATGAGTGATGTTCTGACATATGTCTTGCTTCATTTTCATTTTATTTGGTCATATAATCAAAAATATCAACTAACATTCATGGCGAAACTACCCTTGTTCATCAGTGATGTGACTTCTTTGCTGAACCAGATAGTAATACAGCATTAATTATAATCTGATTTTGTTAAGTCATGGTTGAACTACAACTATAGTTGGTTATGAGTAAGTTCAGCAAAAAATCATTGAAAAGGAAGAGCCAAGAGGGTGGCTCAGACACAACGTGCCATCTTTCTAGCAAAGACTTGAGAAACTGAGTGAAACAGATACAGATAGCAATCCTGGAACCCTGAGCATTAAACAAAACAATAAATTTTTAGAGCACTGGTTGAAGAAGAAGCTTAACAACAACAGCAAATGAGGAGAGGTACAAAACAAATGTGCCCTGCCAGCCAACACAGCACAGTGTGGTCACCTTGGTGTGTTCAACAGCTATTCCAGGTGAGGAGCAAAGGAAGGCCACTTCACAGAATTCCTAATAGGAGACAGAGAACCTGTGTAGACACACCTAGCGTGAAGCAAGGTGAGCAGGACATGAGCTAGAGCTAAAGAGGAAAAGTATAGGATTGAATTCAGTTCTACTTTTGTGTCCTTCCACTAAGATGTCTATTTCAGCCAAGTGATATATTGACCTATAAAATAAACAATAACACCCATGAGGAATGTGCTCCTTAGAAAAATCAACAAAACAGCAACATTTGCCCAAAACCATAGATGAGAAGGCAGGGTGGGTCAGGGAAACTGGACGAATGGAAACAGGGAAAATAGGGTAGAAATGGAGAGAGTGCTGATGCATTGGGAGGATAGCAACCAATGTCATGAAACAATTTGTATATGAATTATGAATGGGAGAAGAAACTAATTTGGTATGTAAACCTTCACCTGAAACACAATATATATTTTTTAAAATCATTGAGAGCATTCTGTGAGAATCAATTGGGTATATAGAATTTACAGTGAAGAATATTGCACATTGGTGATTGTATACTGCATAATGTATCTTTATATTATTAAAATTTATAATAATATATTTACATTATTCAAATGTATAATACTATGTATGTAGTTAACTGTACATACATTTTTGGAAAGCCAGTGGTTAAGCATTTAACAGAATACTTCTGGGTATATTTAAAACATAGTGTCATGGTCTTTAAAAATTAGCCAAAAGTATTGTTTTAAAGGCAGTGAGAATACCTTCCCAGAACATACATGCAAATTACTCTTAAAACTAGCTGTTATGCCTTTCATATTTCTTTTTAAAATTCCATAATTATAAAATTTCAATTTATCACTGTCAGTTTACCACAAAAGGTGTTTTGTGGACATTTTTTACAGATTTACTAATCATTAACTTTTATCCAAAAACCACTTAACTTTTACATGTACATTTATTGTTGCACATATTCCCCAAACTGACAGGGTATTTTTGCTAGCTTATGATAGGAGCTCTGGTGCCGCTCTGGTTAAGGCCTTGGGGTGCTAACCAAAAGCTCGGTGATTTGAACCCATAAGCCTCCTCTGTGGCAGAAAATGAGGCAATCTGCTTCCATAAATATTTACAACCTTGGAAACCCCAACGGGGTCGCTGTGGGTTGGAATTGACTCGATGGCAGTGGGTTTGGTTTGGGTTTTTATAATAGTGAGGAAACCAGAGTTGTTAACTTAGATCAACATTATTTGCTTATGAATGTGTAGTCAGCAGTTGAAGTTCAATTTATTTTTTAAAAGGTATAATTATTTATTTACATCTTACTATGTACTATTTCTCAATATATTTTGAAATTTTAGGTAATCTCAAGTTATTTCATTTAACTTATTTTTACTTTGCCGAGTATTCTTTGTTCCCTAAAGTTGTTAATGAGGAGCCCTGGTGGCAAAATGATTAAGATTGTTAACTGAAAGATGAGAGGTTTATACCAACCGGCAGCTCCACAGGAGAAAACATCTGGTGGTCAGCTCTTGTAAAGATTTCAGCCTAGGAAACCCTATGAGGCAGTTCTACTCCATCCTGTAGGGTCGCTGTGAGTTGGAATTGACTTGATGGCACACAACCACAACAACAGTGAAGTTTTTAATTTAAATATTGTTAAAATGAGTTTCAATTATTCCTGTGTACTGTAGCATAGTGCCTAAGGCACTTGACTGCTAACCAGAAGGCTGGCGGTTCAAACCCACCAGCCACTCTTTGGAAGGAAGATGGGGCAATCTACTTCTGTAATGATACTGCTTCGGAAACCCAAGGAGGGGTCGCTATGAGTCGGGTCTGACTTGACAGCACATAACAACAACAACTGTAGATCAGGGGTTGGCAAAGCACCTGTTTTTCATCAGTAAAGTTTTATTAGAACACATCCAGGCTTATTTTTTTACAAGTATGGTTCCCTTTGTACTAGAACAGCAGTTTTGAACTTGTAACAGAAACTGTATGGCCCACAAAGCCTAAAATACATATTATTTGGCCCTTTAAAGTAAACATTTGCTGACCTCTGCATCTGTATCAGTGTTTCTCAAACTTTATTGTACATAAGAATGAAATGTGTGGGATTGTGTTGGGATTGTGTTGAAATGTAGATTCTAATAAACAGATGTGGGGTGGGGCCTGAGATTCTGCATTTCTAATAAACTCAAGACCATGCTCTAAGTATAAAGATCATTATTCTCAAATCTGACTGCAAATGGAAATCACCTGGGGAATTTTTTGAAATGCTGATGCCTAGGTCTCACCCTCAGAGATTTTGAATTAATTGGTATGGAATATAGCCTGGACATTAGAATTTTGAAAGCTCCCCACGTGATTCGGATATTATAATATGCAGCTTAAGTTGAAGACCAGTGTTCTAGACTCTGTGGAAATGTTCTTTACATTTTCCAATCCAAGTCTATTATTGCAACAAGCAAACTATGTCACATTGCAAAGGGAGAAAGCTTTGTGGTGGATACATGAAATCTCCTGAGGTAACTGATAATATTCTGAAAAGTACACAAATGATAGGAGCTCTGGTAGCATAGTGGCTAAAGCACTTGACTGCTAACCAGAAGGCTGGTGGTTCAAACCCACCAGCCACTCCTCGGAAGGAAGGTTGGGCAATCCTACTTCCATAGTGATACTGCCTCGGAAACCCAAGGAGGGCTCGCTATGAGTCAGGGCCGACTCGACGGCACATAACAACAACAACAACAACATAAATGATATAAATTAGGTCTTTTTTTTTCTTTTCTATAGTGTTACACTTGTGGTAGAGAAAGTTTACTTTTTTTTTTTTAATGATATTAGGGCCAATATCCAAAACCAAAACATAATCTGAATCCATAGAGAAGACATCTTAAGACACAGAATACATGCAATAATTGCCTGTTCTGTATTTTTAAGAGTTTATTGAAATAACTGCCATGGATGGGTGATGAGGGGGTGTTTTGTTTTGTTTCTGAAAGGAATTTGAAAACGGTTTCCCTGAGACACTTTTCCCTTGCCAGTGGCCTGGTTTTGATTTGACAGGTGTCCCCTTCTTGCCTCTCAGCCCATGGGGACCTCTCCCTTGGCCAGTCACCTTCCCTGATAGAGGAGGAGTATTTTCTCTGAAAATTCGTGTTACAAAATTTTTTTAAGTAGTTGAAAACTCTCAATACATGGACAACCTTATTTCATCTACTCCCAAGTTATTTTAAAGCAAATCATTATTGAAAAAAACCACTGGTTTTGTACTGTAATGTTTCACAGATTCTAAATTTTTCTGATTATATGCCAATGGCAGCGTTTAGCATGTTCCTCTGCCCCTTTGATGTAAATTGTTAGATCTAGAGGCTTGATCAGAAAGTTTGTTTTTGTATGGCTCACAGAGCCTAAAATGTGTATTATCTTATTTTTTGCTTTGTTTTTTGCAAGACTGCTTAACAGGTGATTCTTAAGATGACCTACTTAATAGGTCATCTCTTTTTCTTTCATATTATCAGCTTTTGATGATTTACATCTTCATTCAATAACACTTTACACACTGCAACTGTGGAAAAATGGGTTTCTTTTATGTGGCCTTTCTGGCCCTGGGTTTGCAATTCTTCCAGAATGATTGGTTGGGTTGCAATCTGCCAAATGATTGGTCTGTTTGCTATCCATCTAAATGCCTTGCAAGGATCAGTCAGTTTTCTGTCCACCTAAGTGGCTTACAAAGATTGATTGGTTTGCTATCAATATAAGTGGACTTGAAAGAATTGGTTAATGTTATCTATATGCACAGCTTACAGAGATTTGTATCTACATAAGCGGTTTACAGGGATTGATTGGTTTGCTACCCACCTAAATGGCTTGCAATCCACCTAATAGAATTGGTCAGTTTAGGATCCTGCTAGGAAAGCCACATCTTGAAATTGACAAGGATTTTTCCTGTGAAGCAGCCAGTATCAGAGGCTTTTTGGAAGACACCTGATCAACAAGAGCCAGAAGAGGAGCACAGCTTTGGACCTGGGGTCCCCACTCTAAAGACCTCCTAGAGTCAAATAAAAGAGCTGTAATAATGGCTAAGGGCTATAATACTGAACTGATAATGCTGGAGACTGAGAGAAATGCAGGCAAGGACAGCAAAGGTGAGAAGCAGAGAAAACAGTGGCAGTGGTGTGAGCAGCAGGAACCACAAGACCAGTATACATAATGTCTAAAATACTGAAGGTATTTGATGAATGTTGAATGACCAAAGGAAAGAAGAGTCACCAGCTGACATGACAGGGCAATGTTGTCTATTCCATCGTAATTCACTAAAGCCTTTGTTTGGAAACAAGTAAGTTAGGCATTTTAAAATTAAATTATCTAATTTTAAGGTAAAACAGAATCCATGTAAGTATTTGTAGTTTATTTCAGATAATTTGACATAGCAAATAATTTTAGGAGCTGTTTGCTGTTTGTACACAAAGGATTGGCTGAATTGACATTGTAATAAAACATTTTATATTTAGAATTCGATTACAGTCTCTTTCCAAATGCTGCATCCTGTGTCTTACTGTTTTGCTCAGGTATTTTGGGAATATTAACTATCGTAATCTATCTTTTTAACCTGCATATCAAAACCTTTTATTTGCTCCTCTAATTAATTGTATCATTAACAACCTGAGATATGCAGACGATACAACTTTGCTTGCTGAAAGTGAGGATGACTTAAGGCACCTACTGATGAAGGTTGAAGAATACAGTCTGCAGTATGGATTACGTCTCAATATAAAGAAAACAAAAATCCTTACAACTGGACCAATGAGCAGCATCACAATAAATGGAGAGAAGATTGAGGTTGTCAAGGAATTCATGTTGCTTGGTTCTACAATCGATGCCAACGGAAGCAGCAGTCAGGACATTAGATGACGTGTAGCATTGGGAAAGTCAACTGCGAAGGAACTGTTTCAAGTGCTGAGGAGCAAGGATATCTCCTTGAGAACTAAGGTGTGCCTGACACAAGCCATGATATTTCCAATTGCCTCATATGCATGTGAGAGCTGGACAATGAATAAGGAAGACCGAAGAAGAGTTGATGCTTTTGAGTTGTGCTGGCGAAGAATGCTGAAAGTACCATGGACTGCTAAAAGAACTAACAGATCTGTCCTGGAGGAAGTGCAGCCAGAATGCTCCTTGGAAGCAAGAATGGCCAGACTTCGTCTCACCTATTTTGGTCATGTTGTCAGAAGGGACCATTCCCTGGAGAAGGATGTCATGCTTGGTAGGGTGGAGGGTCGATGAAAGAGGGGGAGGCCTTCAACGAGATGGATTGATATGGTGGCTGCAATGATGGGCTCAAGTATAGCAGGGATTGTGGGGCTGGCACGGGATCGGGCAGTGTTTCGTTCTGCTGTGCATGGGGTCGCTATGAGTCGGAAACGACTCGACAGCACTTAACAACAACAATTAATTGTATTACTCTGATTTCTTAAATTGAAAGCTTAACTTAATTTTATCCAAGTACTAAGCATAAAGGAAGTGGTTCCTAAGATGATTTGTTGTTGTTATTGTTGTTGTTGTTGTTATGTGCCCTAAGATGAAATAGAGACAACTAATGTGCTGAAAAATATTTTCTGTATTTGGAAACTAACTAAAGAGTTGTTTGACTTGTCCATTCAAGGCATGCTGCTTGCTGGGTTTCTCCTCAGAAATATTCCAGTTATCAGTGATAATGTACAGATCAAGCACAAGTGGTCATCATCTTTGAGAAGTATAGCCCTATCAATCATATTGGTTCGTGCTGGCCTTGGATTGGATTCAAAGGTAAGAAGTGGGGATTTCTAATAGGAATTTTGCTCCTGGTAGCATAGTGGCTAAGACACTTGACTGCTAACCAGAAGGCTGGTGGTTCAAACCCACCAGCCACTCCTCAGAAGGAAGAGGGGGCAATCTACTTCCATAGTGATACTGCCTTGGAAACCCAAGGAGGGGTCACTATGAGTCAGGTCTGACTTGACAGCACATAACAACAACATAACACAATACTGCAAGTATTTAGAATCACTGAACTTTACAAAAAGGATGTGTACATGCCAGAAGGCAAGGAGGCTGCAACTTCTGACCTCCTCTAACCCCACAAGAGGAAGAAAGAATCACCATCAGTAGCCCAAAGCCTATTCCTGCAAGGCCAAACGTGCCACCTCCCTCCAGCCCTTTTCACCAACCCTAATACCAACCGTTCCTCCCACAGCACCCACCACCTCTCTGCTGGGTTTGATAATTCGCTGCTATGGCCACACAGAACTCACAGATTATGGGGTTTATTAGGAAAGCACCACGCTACAATTCAAGTTCAGGAACAATGCTCAATCTCTCTCAGCCCACCATCTCTCAGCCAACAGTCTCTCTCAGTCTCTCTCCCAGCAGTGCGTGTCTCTCAGCAATGTGTTTCTCTCTGCATCTCTTTCTCAGCATCACATGTCTCTCAGGAACTTGTTTCTCTCAGCAGCATATCTTTCACAACCAGCAGTCACAGAGACTTCTTCTGCTTCTAGGAGGCCTCCTTTTGAGCCTGGCAAAGTGGCCAAACTAACCAACCATAACATCAGAATTCTAAGCACCTGAGAGAGCACGAACTTCCCAGAACATTGCTTTTTGCCATCTCAACAGGAATACCCAGGGGGATAACTTTAAATCAGGAGCTCCTCACTTGCTCATGGCAAATTCCACCTCAGAGTTTACAAAGATTTACGGCTAGAAAAGTCATACCAGGTAATTTACTACACCGCAGGGCACTAGCTTTTATTTCATACAGGACTGTTGTGCAGGTGGGACCCTGTGCTTCACAAGATCTCAGAAAATATTTCCATAATTTATTGGAGAAAAGTGAAGTGGGGACAGCACCAAGAATGAAGGTTCCCCTTTTCTCTGACAGAGATATAGGCCCTAGTTAAAATTATGGTACTGAGGGGGAAGACATCTTATTTTTTGTGTTCAATGTCCTGTATACATGCTTCTTCTTCTTGTTGTTTGGTGCTGTGGAGTGGGTTCCGATTCATAGCAACCTGTGTACAACAGAACAAAACTCTGCCCAGTCCTGTATCATCCTCACAACTGTTGCTGTGTTTGAGCCCATTGTTGAAGTCATTGTATCAGTCCATCACACTGAGGGTCTTCCTCTTTTTCTCTGACCCTCCACTTTACCAAGCATGATGTCCTTCTCCAGGGACTGGTCCCTCCTGATAATTTGTCCAAAGTACATGAGATGAAGCTTCATCATCCTTGCTTCTAAGGAGCATTCTGGCTGTACTTCTTCCAAGACAGATTTGTTCCCTCTTCTGGCAGTCCATGGTTTATTGAATATTCTTCAACAACACCATAATTCATGGGCATCAATTCTTCAGTCTTCCTTATTCATTGTCCAGATTTTGCATATATATGAGGCATTTGAAAATACCATTACTTGGGTCAGGCACACCTTAGTCCTCAAGGTAGCATCTTTGCTTTTTAACACTGTAAAGAGGTCTTTTGCAGCAGTTTTGCCCAATGCAATACGTCATTTGATTTCTTGACTGCTGCTTCCATGGATATTAATTGTAGAGCCAAGTAAAATGAAATCATTCACAACTTCAGTGTTTTCTCCATTTATCATAGTATGCTTGTTGGTCTAGTTGGGAGAATTTTTGTTTCATGTTGTGGTGTTATCCATACTGAGGGCTGTAGTCTTTGATCTTTATCAGTAAGTCCTTCAAGCCCTCTTTGCTTTTACCAAGCAAGACTATATCATCTGCATATCATGGGTTGTTAATGAGTCTTCCTCCAGTCCTGATGTCACATTCATAATAATTCAGTATACATGCTTAGAGCTAACTATACTGGCTCAGAAAACTTCCTAATGTATAAAATGAGATTTATGTTTTTGCTTTGTTTTGTTTTCCATGTATGTTTTTTAATGCAGAAAAAATAAATGTTCTTGAGGGATGTCATGAACCAACTGTGGCTTTTCACCCCAACCTTTTTCTGGGATCATATGTTATAAATAAAGCTAGCACTGAGAGGGTAAAGTCAGCTAGTGTGGAGATTATGAGTACTTACTCTGTAAGTTGCCTGCCTGAGTTCAAAACTTGGCTCCACCATTCACCAGTTTCATGATCTTGAACAAATTAGCTTAGGCCCTTTTTAAAGAGGACATCTAAAAAATGGGAATAATAATACTGCCTATCACAAGGTTGCAGTCACTTCTTGGTCACAGCCAGCTACCCAGAGGGACCGAGCAGTTGAACCTGTGGGCTCACAGGAGACATCAAGCTCAATTAGCATACCATACTACACAAAACATTGTTCCACCTCCTACTTTGGCGAGTAGCAACTGGGATCTTAAAAGCTTGCAAGCTACCATCTAGATGCAACGATGGGTCTCTCCCTGTCCAGAGCAAAGAAGAATGAAGAAAACCAAAGATTCATGGAAAGAATTAGTCCTAGCAACTGGTACACAATGCGATCTGCGGCCTATACGACTATGAGACTAGAATAACTAGATAGTGCCTGGCTACCACTGTCAACCACTTGGAGAGGGATCTTTGTAGGAGATCCTGGATAGAGAGGGAGAACAATATGGAACAAAACTCAAAATCATTTGGAAAAAAGAAGTGGGGGAACCAGGTTTGATGGTCTGATAGAGCCTGGTGGAACCACTGAGACTATGGCCCCTAGCTGCCTTTCAGGTCTGGAATTGAACCCACACCTGTGGCTTCCAGCCAAACAAAAGACAGGCATATGAGTAGAACATTTACCTGAGGTAGATAGACTCCTTGTAGAGAACAATCATGGAAGAAAGAAGGGCTGTTTATGCACAGGGGACAGCTCACGGGGCAGGAGTACATGGAGGGATGGACACAGGGAAGAGGTAACTATCAGTGGGAGGGGAGCTGTTGTATTGTGGTAAATTGTAGTCAATGTCATGAGACAAAGTATATGTGAACTGCTGTATGGAAAGTGAATTTGCTCTGTATATTTTCATCCAAATCACAATAATAAATAAATAAATAATACTGCCTATCTCAGTGTGGCTGTGAGGTCTAAATAAATTAACTTTAAAACATTTAGAATACTGAGTGTTTGTTAAATAAAACCCATGACCTGGAAGATTTATGTTGACCCATACATAGTCTGGATACTGGAGAAAGTTTAAGGTCACCTCATACCTCAAGTCCATCTTCTCTGCATGCCTTTGAGAATTATTTTAGTATCTCTGTTTTTATATTTCAGGCCCTGAAGAAATTGAAGGGTGTTTGCGTGAGACTGTCCATGGGTCCTTGTCTTGTGGAGGCATGCACATCTGCTCTTCTTGCTCATTTCCTGATGGGTTTACCATGGCAATGGGGATTTATACTGGGGTAATGATTTTTCTTTGTCCATATGAAAACATGCACAGATTTAGACCTTTCTATGCTTCCATACAAGAGAATGCATAATAGTGTTTACTTAAGGGCATCAGAAAATGCAACATAGAAATTCCAGCATAATCTAAATCCTCTAACTCTAAAATATACTTCTATATGCTTCTATAGGCATTAACTTTTACAGTGATTCCAATAATTTAAACTAATTGAAAAAGTAATAGTCTTTTACTTACCCCTGGTTCCATGCTGGTAAGAGAGATGCAGGATCTTGCCTTAAAATCTGTATAAAGGATAATAAACACATCAACAATCATCAATGCCTGTTATGTTTTCCTCCTCCTTGTCACTAGTCTATTGTGATTTGTGTTCTCTTACTTTACATGGTAAAGACTCTGGAGCTATATTGCCTAGGTTCAAATCCCAGACCTGCAATTTTCTTTGCAGAGTGACTTTTGGCAAATTAATTAATCTCTCTGGACCTCAATCCTTATTTGTAAAATGATGATTATGATTGAATCTATTTCATAGAGTTGTTATGAGAATTAAGTTAGTCATGACGTGTAAAGTGCTGAAAATAGTGTTTGGCATATAAAGTGCTCCTTGCTGTTCCTACTGCTTCTGTTGTTATTATCATCACTATCACTGCCTTAATGACCTCCTTAAGCCCACCAGCCACTCCTCAGAAGGAAGGTTGGGCAATCTACTTCTATAGTGATATCACCTCGGAAATCCAAGGAGGGATCGCTATGAGTTGGAGCGGACTCAACAGCACATAACAACAACAACAACACAATCTGTTCTTAGGAGCTCTGGTGGCATAGTGCCTAAGGCATTTGACTGCTAACCAAAAGGCTGGTGGTTCAAACCCAGCAGGCATTCCTCCAAAGGAAGATTTGGTAATCTACTTCTATAGAGATACTACCTCAGAAACCCAAGGAGGGGTTGCTATGAGTTGGATTTGACTTAACAGCACTGAGTTTGGTTTTTTGGAATCTGTTCTTATTTTACATACTAAGTCCAATTCAAAATATATGTACCAATGTTTTTCAGATCTCATAATATGAATGTTTTGTTTAATAAAAAGTTAGAATCCTGGGGCTAAATCCATTAGATCTTCTAAATTACCAGTTGCCATTGAGTAGATTCTGACTCATGGTAAGCCCATGTGTGTTAGAGTAGAACCCTGCTCCGTAGGATTTTAATGGCTGATTTTTCTTTGGAAGATCACTAGGCCTTTCTTCTGAAGGGCCTCTGGGTGGACGTGAATTATAGTAATTTTTACACAGATAACATGCACGTTACATGAGTTTCAAAAATACAACTTCCTTGTGTGTTAGCTTCCTATGCACACTATACACATTATATGTGGAAAATATGATTTTTTCTTTAAAGTAACAAGTATTTCCAATGAGAGTTGTCTATGGCTACAATTTGAGAAACAGTGTTCTGTGGAATTTGTGTGTGTGTGTGTGTGTGTATGTTTATGATTTGTCATTTTTCTGCCATATGAAAGACTATAGGTAAAAGTCTACAAAGTCCAGCCTCCAAAGGAGTAGAGGTTATTATAATTTAAAAAAAAAAAAGATATTAAGATAATATCATAAATGTTTAAAGTACTCCCTGCTTAGTTTTGTTTTAGGTGCTGTATCACCAGCTGTTGTGGTGCCTTCAATGCTCCTATTGCAGGGAAGAGGCTACGGTGTTGAAAAAGGTGTCCCAACCTTACTCATGGCCGCTGGCAGCTTCGATGACATTCTAGCCATAACTGGTTTCAACACATGCTTGGGCATGGCATTTTCCACAGGTAAACTAGTCAGTTCAAAACATACTATTTTCTTTATATTCTAGAGACATAGATTAAAATGTTATAAGCATGCCATATTTGCTTGATAATTGATTAAGGCAAAAGAAATATATAGAACAAATTCTCAAAAGTTCGATACTGGGAATGGGGAGGGGAGGACCAGTACATACTTATCTTTATTCCCTTCCTGTCTCTTTACATAGGCTGTTCAAGAGTCTGCGGTATATGCAATAATAGGGGATACAAAGCAGTCAAGTTTAAAGAAGGAGTTGAATAGCTTCTGCTTGCAGTGATCTGGAAAAGTTTAAGCTTGGAGACAAGCACAAAGAATGAGTAAATTTTTTAAAGTGAGCACAAGTGACAGAGCAGTTCAAGCAGAAGGAACAGAATACTTCTAAAAGAAGGATAGTTTCTGCTGCCTCATGTTTAACATTTTATGGCTAATGACAGTGATGGTTTTAATGGATTTCATTGATCCTTGCAAATGAGAAATACTTAATTCTTGTCTGATATGGACATGTCTTGTTTTATGTAATAATGAAAGAGGAATCAAAGGTATTTTTTCACAAATTAAGGTATTTTTTTCACTATTATTTATACCTTTGTTGTTGTTGTTATGTGCGGTCAAGTTGGACCCAACTCATAGCGACCCCTCCTTGGGTTCCGAAGCAGTATCACTACAGAAGTAGATTCCTTCTGAGGAGTGGCTGGTGGGTTTGAACTACCAGCCTTCTGGTTAGCAGTCAAGTGCCTTAGGCACTACGCTACCAGAGCTCCTTTTTACACCTTTATTATCCTTCAAAGATTATTTTTTAAGGAGCCCTGGTGGCACAATGGTTAAGCGCTTGGCTACTATCCTAAAGGTCAGCAGTTTGAACCCACTAGTGGTCCATGGGAGAAAGAGGTGGCCATCTGCTCCCATAAAGATTGTTGTTGTTGTTAGGTGCCGTCGAGTCAGACCTGACTCATAGCGACCCCTCCTTGGGTTTCCGAGGCTGTATCACTACGGAAGTAGATTGCCCCATCTTCCTTCCGAGGAGTGGCTGATGGGTTTGAACCGCCAGCCTTACAGCCTTGGAAACCCTATGATTTCCTTTTAGAGCAAACATCTGAGAAGGAATAAGTCCCCTGTACATATTACAGAAGGAGCTCTGGTAGCACAATGGTTAAAGCACACAGCTGCTAACCAAAATGGTGGTTTGAACCCACCAACTGCTGCTCCATGGAGAAAGATGAGTCAGCCTGATTCCCTGAAGATTTACAGCCTTGGAAACTCTATGGGGCAGTCCTACTCTGTTCTGTAGTGTCACTATGAGTCAGAATCAACTCAATGGCAATGGGTTTGGTTTGGCTTTGCTTACTCAGTAGAAACATTAAGGAAACTAAAATACAATGATTACAGTGAATATTTTCTTATCTAACTCTAAATTCAAAACATTTTTGAATTCTGTCTAAAATTTTTCTTTTTGTTTGTTTTACAGGCTCCACAATTTTTAATGTCCTCAGAGGAGTTTTGGAGGTAGTAATTGGTGTGGCAACTGGAGCTCTTCTTGGATTTTTTATTCAGTACTTTCCAAGTAGTGACCAGGTGAAAGAAATAATCTGTGAGAAAGTTATGCTCTAAAATATCATTACTAACACTTTGGAACACTTCCATCAAAGCCAAATGTGAAGGACAGGTTTTAGAAAAGAGCCCCCCAAGTTTAAAATTGCTTACTGCTATATCAGGGCCATCCGTGAAACTTATGAAGAGGACGAAATGTATATTTAATGCAGTCTGAACATTTTTTTCCTCTAATTTATATTCTGTGTACTTTAAATTTCACAGTAAAACAAATACCAATTTAAAAACATTTAAAAAAAAAGCTACTTTCAACTCACTGCCATCGAGTCAATTCTGACTCATAGTGACCCCCATTGGGTTTCCGAGGCAGTAAATCTTTATGGAAGTAGATCACCCCATCTTCCTTCCACAGAGTGGCTGGTGGGTTTGAACCACCAACCTTCTGGTTAGCAGTCAAATTCCTTAGGCACTGCACCACCAGAACTCCTTCCACTCAATCTATAACCAAAACCAACTCACTGGTGGAGTCAGATCTGGATCCGACTCATAGTGACGCCCCCCTTGGGTTTCCAAGGTGGTATCATGATAGAAGTAGATTGTATCATCTTCATTCCGAGGAGTGGCTGATGGGTTTGAACCTCCAGCCTCCTAAAACTTCTTACTAGTCAAGGATTTAGAAAGAAAAACAAACCAAAGGAGCACCAAATGAAAAAGTAAATGGAAAGCCTGAAGATAACAAGAGATATGTTATCTTTAACATCCACAAAACCCCTATGATGTAAATGCTTTTGTGGCAGTTTCATGGATGAGGAATTAAAGCTTAGAGAGGTTAATAATGCAGCCACTGCCTACATATCAATTACAAAAGAGCTAGAATTTTAACCCAGGTCTGTCTGCATCCAAAGCCAGTGTACTTTTTTCTACTACTTCACTTCACCCTGTGAAATTATGCATTGATACCTGCTGTTGTTAGCTAACATTGAGTCTGTCCCCAGCTCATAGCAATCCCATGCATGAGAGACCAAAATGCTGCCAGGGGTTTCATTGGCTGATTTTTGGAAGTAGATTGCCAGGCTTTTCTTCCTTGTCTCCCTTAATCTGGAAGCTGTGCTGAAACCTGTTTGGCATTATAGCAATGCAAGGCAGATAACTGGTGGTCCTAAAAGGAGCCTACATTTGTATATACACTCACTCTGCCTCCATTAAGGAAGAGAAAGTAATGCTAAGTCATGCATTTATGTGAGCAGATACAGGCATTTTTATTTTCCTATAAATTCATATTATGGAAAAATCAATAATTAAAAATCAGTTGCTAATTAACTTTTTGTCTCCTAAAGGCCAACCTTGTGTGGAAGAGAGCATTCCTTGTTTTGGGATTCTCTGTGCTCGCTGTTTTCAGCAGCATATATTTTGGTTTCCCTGGATCAGGAGGACTGTGTACATTGGTCATGGCCTTCCTTGCAGGCATAGGATGGACAAGCAAAAAGGTGAATTTTAAGTTCTCTTTAAAATGACTTTCTGATCATATTAATTTTTTTTCTTTTCAGTTACTTTTCAATGTCAAATAATATTTTTATTATAAGTTATTTATATGCATATACAAATGTACAATGAGTATGTACATACATAACATTTTGCCCATCACATACCAATTTATAATTTGATGACTCATAGCAACCCCTCCTTGGGTTTCCAAGATGATATCTCTACAGTAGATTGCCTAGTCTTCCTTCTGAGGAGTGGCTTGTGGGTTTGAACTGCCAGCTTTCTGATTAACAGTGAGGTGCCTTAGGCACTACACCACCAGAGCTCCTGATCTTTACTTAATATCATGGTCATATTTTCATGATGCCTCCCTTATTTTTTATAATGGCTGCAGAGTATTGCATTATAGCTATATTGTTGTTGTGTGTTGTCTAGTTGATTCTGACTCATAGCTAATCTATAGGACTCTATAGGACAGAGCAGAACTGCCCTGTAGGATTTCCTAAGCTGTAATCTTTACACAGAAGGAACCTTGATGGGGCTTGGTCACTAGCCAAAATGTTGGAGGTTCGAACCTACCCGCTGCTTCACAAAAGAAAGACCTGGCAATCTGCTTCTATAAAATTACAGCCTTGGAAACTCGATGGGGAAGTTCTGCTCTCTCCTATAGAGTTGCTGTGAGTTGGAATCAACTCCATGGCGGCAAGTTTGGTTTCTGGTTCACATCTTTACAGAGCCAATCTCTAGGTCTTTTCTACCAGGGAACAGCTGGTGGCCACCAGTCTTATGGTTAGCAGCCAAGCACATGACCATTGTGCCACCAGGGCTCATTATTTAACCAGTTTCCTACAAACAGATGGTTAGGTTGTTTCTACTTCTCTGCTAAGACGGTTCCTCAATAAAATATTCTTACATATACCATATTTCATAAACTCTAAAACACTATCATTTTTAAGAAGTACCATTATTTTATGTGCCATCCAGAAGAAAAAAAAAATATGTTGCCAGTTAAACCATGACATGCTATCCTAACTTCAGAAATGTTAAATGTAAACATAAATGTTTATCTTAGAATTTACAAAATATAGTTTATATTGGAGTTTATCTGTAGGATAAATTTCTAGTAGAATTACTCTGTCAAAGCATGTTGTTGTTGTTGTTGTTATGTGCCATCAAGTTGGGCCCTCATAGCGACCCCTCCTTGGGTTTCCGAGGTGGTATCACTACGGAGGTAGATTGCCCCATCTTCCTTCTGAGGAGTGACTGGTGGCTTTGAACCACCAGCCTTCTGGTTATATTTCAAATTTTGATGGTATCAGTTTGCCCTTTCAAGAGGCTGCACTAATTTACATTCCCACCAGCAGTATGGGAAAGGATCTCTTTCTCTGACCTGGGTATTTTCTTTCTTTCTTTCTTTTTTTTTTTTTTTAATTGTGCTGTAGGTGCAAATTTACAGAGCAGAATTTGTTTTACATAAGTCAACAGTTTGTATACATTTGATCTCACTCCTCAATTACCATCCCCATCCCTAACCCCTTTTAATCCCCTTTCTCCTGCTCTTCCCTCCTGCTACTTTGGGCATCCCTGAGTTGTCGCTCCTCACCTGTAACGCTGTGGCTGACTGCTCTTCTGTCCAGGTTCCTGGCTTAGGAATTAGGTTCCAGGATTAGGGGAGGAGAGGAAACTCAGGCCCACCAAGAGCAGCAGGCCGGAAGAGCAGGAGAAAGGGGATAAAAGCCAGGAACCCAGACAGAAGAGCAGTCAGCCCCAGGGATACAGGTGAGGAGAGACAACTCAGGGACGCCCAAAGCAGCAGGCCAGAAGAGCAGGAGAAAGTGGATTAAAAGCCAGGAAGCCAGACAGAGGTACAGTCAGCCACAGGGACCCAGGTGGGGGTGGTACAAATGTTCCTGTTGGTTGTTCTATAAGACAAAGGAAGAAAAGAAGTACAAAATATGAACTCAAGGTTTGACACTCCCAGAAGTAGAAGCTTAGTGTCATAGTGACTCCATGTATGTAGAGTAGAAAACTTAGGGTTTCCAAGGCTGTGACCTTTTGGAAGCAGATTGCAAGGCCTGTCTTCCAAGGTGCCTCTGGTGAGTTGGGACGACCAACCATTCGGCTAGTAGTCAAGCACTTAACCGTTTGCACCACCCAGGGACTCCTCTACTTAGATGACACATAAAAATTTCAAGCCTATTTTCATCTCTTTTCAAATCCAGTGCTGCTTCTGGAGACCTTTAGAGCTATGTTGTTGTGTGCCATTCAGTCAATTTCCACTCATAATGACCCTATAGGACACACACAGTGGACCTGCCCCATATGAGCAGTGTGCCAGTTCTTTGCTTCCTGAGAGGCTTGTGGGTTTAAACTGAGGATCTTTCCGGCAGCTGAACTCTTAACAATTGAGCCAGCTGGGCTACAGGATTTTTTTTCTTAATATCCTTTGGACCTTCTGAATCTTGAAATGTTCTTCTTTCTAATAAGAAAACTATCAGATTGAGTAGAAATTTAACTAATGAAGATACCTCCATTTCTCTTTGTCCATTGTTGAAAGTGATTTATATCGTGGAAGGTTCATACTAGTGCGTGCAGATGTGTAAAGTGGCCTTAATTTCCAGTGGGCAACACAGTCTGTATTACACTGGGCTGATCTTTTATAGTTAGTCTATTCAATGACTGTGTTTTCTTTATAAACAAGTTTTAGTCTTGACATTATCAAAAGAAAACACAAGATATATTGTGACTTGTTTAAAAAATATTTACAATAAATAATCTCATGTCTGATGATCAACCAAACTAAAGTGTTTACAGTCAAAGAACAAATTGTGGCCTTTGTTTGTGGTTTAGAAATCAAAATAATTCAGTGAGACAACTCTTTACGCCATCTGTTTTTATTGGCATCTGAGCACATGAAAATAGTTGAGGGCTTTCATTAAACAAGGAGCCCTGGTTGTCAGCAGTTCCAACCCACTAGCTGCCCCACAGGAGAAAGATGAGACAGTCTGCTGTCATAAAGATTTACGGTCTTAGAAACCATACAGGGCAATTGTACTCTGTCCTATAGGGTTGCTATGAGTCAGAATTGACCACACTGGGTTTGATTTTGGGTTTACTTCCATTAAACAATTAGGCATGTCAACAAAAGGCTAAGCAAAATAATAGAGTTGCTTCTTCTTATTTACTATTACATGATGTATCAGCTGAAGCCTGAGCTTTGGCCAAAGCAAATAAAAAATAAAATATAAAGGTATATGGATGGGTGGCAACTTGACCACATGTTGGCCAAATTATTCACTCTCATAAAATGATAAAGGATCTTCTTACTGCTGTTGAGTCAGATCCGACTCATAGTGACCCCTCCTTGGGTTTCCAAGGTGGTATCACTATGGAAGTAGATTCCCCAGTGTTCCTTCCGAGAGTGGCTGGTGGGTTTGAACCACCAGCATTCTGGTTAGCAGTCAGATGCCTTAGGCACTGTGCTACCAGAGATCCTATAAAGGATCTTAGATGTCATTTAATGCAAATCTCTAACTTTCAGATGAGAAAAATGAGACACAGAGAGGTAAATGGCCTGCAATAAGTGAGTGGCACAATTTAAACCTGGGTCATTATTTGATCCCTTATGTTGTAAAGCATAACCTTTTGCATGCTGTGTAAACAGAATTATGTAAATAAATCAACCAACCCCTGACATACGCTCTATCCTTCAACATTTATAAGCTAAAAGGAAAGATAATCTTCATGATAATTAACATAACAGAAATAAGAAAAGTAAAAAAAAAAAAAATAGAAAAAGAGAAACAATATAATCCTCCATTTGTAAATAGCTGAATATACGTAAGGAATTACAGATTCTTAAAGATGTGTACTTGCAAGTATAAAAATGGATTCTCATTATTGAATGCTGTTAAGTTGAATGATAACCCTATGAGTGTATTCTGTGACTAAGTGCTTTATGTAGATTGTTTCACTTAACCAACTCTATGACCTGTTTCTATTATCACTCCCTACTTTACATATGAGGAAATTAAGGGTCTGAAAAGATAAATATTTGTACATGGTCACATGCCTAGTTTTTTAGAATGTAAATAAAAATTAAAACAATCTAAAATCAATCTATAAAAAATTGATTGAATAAACTATGGTACTTCCATATCATGGATTACTAAGCAGCAAGACTGAGGTGCAAATATAGATATAACCAAAAAACCAATCAGACCCACTGCCATTGAGTCATATCCGACTCATAGCAACCCATCCTTGGGTTTCCGCAGCGGTACCATTAAGGAAGTAGATTGCCCAACTTTCCTTCCGAGTACTAATTTATTCCATTCTGTTATACAAAAAGTTGCCATGAGTCAGAGCCAACTCTGTGGCAACTAACAACAAATATTACAAGATCTCTAAGTCATATTTTTAATGAAAATTAACATAAGATTTTCAACTATAAAACATACTCAATATTATGATACCAAACCAAAAAAACCAAACTCACTGCCGTCGAGTCAGTTCCAACTCATAGCAACCCCTCCTTGGGTTTCCGAGGTGGAATCTCTATGGAAGTAGATTGCCCAGTGTTTCTCCAAGGAGTGGCTGGTGGGTTTGAACTGCCCGCTTGCTGGTTAGCAGTCAAATGTCTTAGGCACTATGCCACAATAGCTCCTTGTATTATGATATGTACATATATATGTGTGTGTAAATGCATATAAACTTACTTGGTAGATGCACATCAAACTGAGAAGAATGATTCCCTTCAGTAAAGATTATGTAAGAATTCTTCAGTAATGAATGTAAGTAAAAAAAAATTGAAAACTAAACCCGAATATGCTTGTTACTCAAACATAATATATTGTTCTTCATGCCTATAATGCACCCATGTAAATAACATGCACGTGCATATAATGAGCATAGTGCACATGGGAAGCTAACATTTGCAGGGTTTCCATAGTTTG